TAAGCAAATGTTTTCATTTGTTTTGTTTTACAATATGTCAAATTTTAATACTAGTCCCCCAAAGATATTAAAGGCAATAAACGAACCATAAACGAGTCAAAAATAAACTTGCTAACACATTTTTTTTGTTTCTTTTTTCTTTTTTTAGGTCAAAATCCAGTTTTAAAATGTTGGAAGTATTATTTAACATCTTTAAAACACTATTTTCCCTGCACTACCCCCTCCCCGAATTTCACCATCAAAACTCCTTGTTATTATTTAAACCCTTGTTATATTTTAAACCCTTGTTATATTTTAAACCCTTGTTATATTTTAAACCCTTGTTATTATTTAAACCCTTGTTATTATTTCAACCCTTGTTATTTATTAAAAAGATAGAAATATACACAAGTTTAATTCTCTTTGCTCTGTGGCAAATGCATTTTTAAAATCTAATTTAAAAAAGTGTGAAAAAGTATAGGGCTATACTCACATGTACTTATTTATCTAATTGCAGCTTTAATCTCAAAAAAATGTTTAACTCTACTTAAAGCAAAAAGAGATTAGGCATACGCTGTTTTATAGGCTTGGATTAAATTACTCCGAGTGTTGAGCAGCGCCCGTATAAAGCTGACCGGTGGGTCATGTGACCTCTTGGTTGACAGGTATATAAGCAGAGGAGTAGAGGGTAGAGGCACCAGTCTCATTCCTGGGGTTTACACACTAGGTAGGTAGTAGGGGGATTTTATAGTTATTTCTTTCATATGCAGAGCTTTTAGACCTTTCAAAACAAATTAACACAATAGAATAATACAAAGTTTTATATAGTGTACTCAGATAGTTTTACTGGAAGTTCATTTTGCAAATTCAATTTAAACTTTTTAGCTAATTCATGCTCTGTTTTATGTTCATGACACTCTAAGCAACGTTTTATACATTTCAACCTTTTATGACCAATTTTATCTGAGATTTTAGATACAAGATATAGTTAATATTAAATTACAAATTATAAACATAGTTTTGTATTTCTCATAAAAGAAAATTAAGGATTAAGATTTAAAAGGTGCATTTATTGTTGCCATAATTAGTTTGTAAATTGTTTTTAGTTTTTTTTCTTCTTCTTAAGTTTCAGCTTTAAATTTAAGAAAAATGGCCTTATTTCCCTTTATGTGACAATGTTAATTTAGGTTTTTTTGGACTGCCACCATGCCTGGACATATCAAGCTTACCAAAGGAGCGGTTGACCCCGATCCAACTGAATTCTTGGTTCCTTCCATTGAAATGAAGAGAGCCGACCAGGCTAAGCCCTATGACAACAAGAAATCCGTCTGGATCCCAGATCCCAAAACTCATGGATATCGTGAGGGAATCCTTGAATCTGGAGAAATTGATGAAGATCCAGCTTGCAAGTGTGTTGTTTCTGTTGGCCATGAGAAATTTACTCATAAGGCTTCTGAGGTTGGAAGAGTTAACCCTCCCAAGTTTGAAAAATGTGAGGACATGGTTAACCTTACCTTCCTTAATGATGCTTCTGTCTTCTGGAATTTGAAGACTCGTTATCAGGCCAAGTTGATCCATACCTACTCTGGTCTTTTCGTTGTGGTTGTTAACCCCTACAAACGTTACCCTCTTTACACGCATCGTTGCTCTAAGATCTATTTGGGCAAGAGACGTAATGAAGCTCCTCCTCATTTGTGGGCTATTGCTGAAACTGCCTATCGTGGCATGTTGCAAAACTCTAAGAATCAAGCTATGTTGATTACTGGTGAGTCTGGGGCTGGAAAAACTGAGAATACCAAGAAGGTTATTACCTACCTGGCTATTGTAGCCACTTCTTCAGGAAAGAAGGCTGAAAAGAAGGTCTCTCTAGAGGACCAGATTGTAGCGACCAACCCTATTCTTGAATCCTATGGAAATGCCAAGACCTCAAGAAATGACAACTCCTCTCGTTTTGGTAAATTCATCCGCATTCATTTCACTACCTCTGGAAAACTGGCTGGTTGTGATATTGTGTCTTACCTTCTGGAAAAGTCTCGTATTACTGAACAACAAGAAGTTGAAAGATCCTACCATATCTTCTACCAACTGATCCAGCCCTATGGTGATGGCATTGGAGGAGGACTAAGAGAGAAATGCAGACTCAGTGCAGATATCTATGATTACACTTATGTGTCCCAGGGTAAAACCAAAGTAGACTCAATTGATGACAATGAAGAACTTGAATACACTGAAGATGCCTTCAATGTTCTTGGATTTGGAGAACAGGAGAAGTTTGATTGCTACATGCTTACTGCTGCTGTCATGACTTTTGGAGGTGTTGAGTTTAAAACCAAGGGAAGAGATGACCAAGCTGAGTGTGAGCAAACTGGACCTGATACCTTCCCTGGAAAGGCTGCAGCTCTTTGCGGAGTTGACAGTAATGCCATGATCAAGGCTTTCTGCAAACCCAGAATAAAGGTTGGAACTGAATGGGTAACCAAGGGTCAAACTTGTGAACAAGCTGGTAATGCTGTGGGAGGTATTGCTCGTGCAATCTTTGATCGTGTCTTTAAATGGCTGATTGAGAAGTGTAATGACACTCTAATTGATCCTACTTTGAAAAAGAACAACTTCTGCGCTGTACTTGATATTGCTGGATTTGAGATCTTTGAGTACAATGGCTTTGAACAAATTTCCATCAACTTTGTCAATGAAAAACTTCAGCAGTTCTTCAATCATCACATGTTTGTTGTTGAGCAAGAAGAATATGTTAAGGAAGGAATTGACTGGGTTATGGTAGATTTTGGTATGGATTTGGCTGCTGCTATCATTATGTTTGAAAAACCCATGGGAATCTGGGCTATTCTTGAGGAGGAGTCTCTCTTCCCCAAGGCAACTGACAAGTCATTTGAGGAGAAACTTAAGGCAGCTTTAGGCAAACTCCCAGTTTTCTTGAAGCCCCAGTCCAAGACAGATAAAAATGCTCACTTTGCTATTTCTCATTATGCTGGAATTGTATCTTACAATGTAACCAACTGGCTTGAGAAGAACAAAGACCCTGTAAATGACTCAGTTGTTGAGGTATTTAAATCATCTTCAACTGTTGAACTTCTTGTTCACTTGTGGAGAGATCATCCTGGACAACCTACTGTAACACCAAAGGATGATGGTAAGAAGAAGAAGAAGGGAGGTGGTGGCAAGACTGTGTCTTCTGTATATTTGGTATCTCTTGGAGAGTTGATGCAAACCCTTTATGCTTGTGAGCCTCACTTTGTACGTTGCCTAGTACCCAACACTCACAAAAAACCGGGAGATGTTGAGCCTCCTCTAATTATGCACCAGCTCACCTGTAATGGTGTATTGGAGGGTATCAGAATTTGCATGCGAGGATTCCCCAACAGAATGAACTATAATGACTACAAAATGCGATATGCTATTCTTGGAGCAGCTGAAATCGCAAGCTCAAAAGATAACAAGGTTTCTGTTTATGCTTTGATGGACAAAATTAAGTTTGATAGAGAAAGATATCGTCTTGGACACACCCTTGTCTTCTTCAGAGCTGGAGCTCTTGCTAAACTTGAAGAAGCAAGAGATGATATTGTCGGCAAACTCATTAGATACATGCAAGGACAAGCATACCAGCGTATTAAGAGTGCTGGATTTAATAAGCGCAGAGACCAAAGAGAACTTATCAAAGTGTGCCAGAGAAATTTCAGAAAGTATATGGCAATGAGAGATTGGGGATGGTTTGTTATCATTCAAAAGACACGTCCTCTCCTGGGAATGCCAAATCCTGAAGAAGAACTTAGACAATTGGAGGAAAAGGCAAATGCCACCTATGGTAAATATAAGTCTGCACTTGACACCACCGCATCTCTTGAAGGCGAGCTTGATAACATGCGTTCAGACATTAAAGCTTTGACAAAACAACTTGAATCTGAACAAGGAAACCTTAGTGTTTATACTGACAGGCAATCAAAGGCTACTGCCCTAAAGGCAGAAACTGAAGTTGAACTTGCAACACAGCAAGCTAATCTTTCCGCTGAAGAGGCTTCAAGGATTGAACTGACTGCTGAAGTTAAGAAGCATTCTGGATCCATCAATGTTGTCAAGAAGGACATTGAAGACATTGAGCTTGCTATTACCAAGGTTGAACAAGAAAAAACTAACAGAGATCATACCATCAAATCTCTCAATGATGAAATTGCTGAACAAGATGAGGTTATCAATAAACTTAACAAGGAGAAGAAACATATTGCAGAGACTCAATCCAAATCTGCTGATGATCTTATTTCTGCTGAAGAAAAGGTTAATCACCTTAACTCAATCAAGTCCAAGCTTGAATCTACTTTGGATGAACTGGAAGGTGCTCTTGACAAAGAGAAACGCTCAAGGGGAAATCTGGAGAAGGAAAGAAGGAGGGTAGAAGGAGAACTGAAGATGACTCAAGATATGGTAGCAGACTTGGAAAGATCCAGAAAAGAGATTGAAAATACCATTGCTAAGAAAGAGAAGGACATGGGAGGTCTCTCTGCTAAGCTGGATGATGAACAGTCACTTGTTGCAAAAATGCAAAAGAGCATCAAGGAACTTCAAGGACGTGTTGAAGAGATGGAAGAAGAACTTGAAGCTGAGCGTCAGGCTCGTGCCAAGGCTGAAAGACAAAGATCTGATCTTGCAAGAGAAATTGAACAGCTAGGAGAGAGATTGAATGAAGCTGGAGGTGCTACTCATGCCCAGATTGAATTGAACAAGAAGAGGGAAGCTGAAGTTGGAAAACTCCGCAAGGATATTGAAGAAACCAATATTCAGCAAGAATCTATTCTTGGGTAAGCATCTATATTTACAAAAATTAATCAAACATTTCATAAATCTTTTTTAGAAACTTGAGGAGGAAACACCAGGATGCCATTCAGGAGATGTCTGAGCAAATTGATCAACTCCAGAAGATGAAAGCCAAGATTGAGAAGGACAAATCTCACATTATTGCTGAAATTGCTGATGCCAGAGCTGCTACTGATGAAGTTGTTCGTGCTCAAGCTTCTGCTGACAAATCTAACAGAAATCTTCTTACTTCACTTAATGAAATCAATAAGAGGGTTGGTGAAGCCAACCTTACTCTTGGAGACTTTGAGGCCAGCAAGAGGAAGATTGCAGCTGAGAATGCTGATCTTCTCCGTGCTGTAGGTGATCTTGACAACAACCTTAACATGCTGTTGAAGGTTAAGAGCTCCATTGCTGCTCAACTTGAAGAAGTCAAATCTCTGGCTGATAATGAGGCTCGTGAGAGATCTCTTCTTCTTGGCAAATTCCGCAATCTTGAACATGAGGTTGATGGAGCCAAAGAGGCCCTTGATGAAGAATCATCTTCTAGGGACAATGTTCTCCGTCAAGTTGCTAAAGCTGAAGGTGATGCCAATCTGTGGAGAACCAAGTATGAAAGTGAAGCTGTTGCCAAGGCTGAGGAGCTTGAGATGACTAAAATGAAGTTGGTTGCCAGACTAACTGAGGCTGAGGGAACCATTCAAAATCTTAATGCTAAACTTTCTCAAGTAGAAAGATCTAGATCTAAGATGCAAGCAGAGCTTGACGAAATGACATCTGGTCTTGATCAAGCCCAGGTGCTGAATGCTGCCATGGAAAGAAAGGCTAAGCAATTTGACAAAGTCATTGGAGAATGGAAACTTAAAGTTGACTCTCTGTCATACGACCTCGATTGCAGCCAGAAGGAAACCCGCAATGCTTCCTCTGATCTCTTCAAGGTCAAATCTGCCTATGAAGAAAGCATGCTCCAGCTTGATGAAGTGAGAAGAGAGAACAAGACCCTTTCCAATGAAATCAAGGACATCATGGACCAAATCAGCGAAGGAGGAAGATCCATCCATGAGATTGACAAAATCCGCAAGCGTCTTGAAGCTGAGAAACTTGAGCTCCAAGCTGCTCTAGAGGAAGCTGAAGCCACCCTTGAGCAGGAAGAAAACAAGGTTCTCCGGGCTCAGCTTGAACTTACTCAAGTAAGACAAGAGATTGAGCGCCGTCTTGCTGAGAAGGATGAAGAGTTTATGGCTATCAAGAAGAACCAGTCAAAGGCTCTTGAATCTATGCAAGCTGCCCTTGAAACTGAATCCAAGGGAAAAGCTGAGGCTCTCAGGATGAAGAAGAAGCTTGAGTCTGATGTTACTGATCTTGAGCTTGCCCTAGAGCATGCCAATGCTGGAGCCATGGAAACACAGTCAACCATCAAAAAGTACCAAAACCAGGTCCGTGATGCTCAGTGCAAGGTTGATGAGGAATCCCACATGAAAGCTATTGCTCAAGATAATAAGGTCAATGCTGAAAGAAAGGCAGCAGCAATGCAGAATGCACTTGAGGAAGCCAGAACAATGCTGGAGCAGGCAGATAGAGGAAGGAGAGCCTTGGAACAGGAGCTTGCAGATTCCAATGAGACCCTAGCTGACTTGTCCAACCAAAACCAGGCCATTTCTGCTGCAAAGAGGAAGCTAGAAAATGAGTTCCAGACTGTTTCTGTTAGTATTTCCTTATAATTGAATTGCTTAACATTTTTAATACTTTTTTTTGCATTTTTCTTATTTTTTCTTTTTAGGCTGATCTTGATGAGATGGCTAATGAAGCTAAACTTTCTGAAGAAAAGGCTGCAAGAGCTATGATTGATGCTGCAAGACTTGCTGATGAACTTCGTGCTGAACAAGACTTTGCCATGTGCCTTGAAAAAGACCGCAAGCTTCTTGAGGCCCAGTGCAAGGATGCACAGGCTCGTGCTGATGAGGCTGAAGTAAATGCACTTAAGGGAGGAAAGAAGGCCATGATAAAAATGGAGACAAGAATTAGGGAACTGGAATCTGAGCTTGATGCTGAAAATAGGAGACTTGGAGATGCAAACAAAAATCTGAGGAAAACTGAGCGCAAGGTGAAAGAACTTACTTTTGCTGCTGATGAGGACAAGAAGAACCATGAGCGCATGCAAGCTTTGATTGATCAGCTCCAGGGCAAGGTCAAGTCATACAAGAAGCAGATTGAAGAAGCTGAAGAGATTGCTGCTCTGAACCTCGCTAAGTTCAGGAAGGTGGTTGGTACCCTTGGAGAAGCTGAAGCTGCAGCAGATCAAAATGAACAAGCTCTTGCCAGGATGAAGGCTCGTGCCAGGTCTGCATCCCTTGGACCAATGTAACTTTTTGTTATTTTCTATGAACCAAATGATATGAAAATTATAAATCCGTAATAAATATTTGCAAATCAAGTACGATTTTCTTTAAACTCTGGATAAAAATGTCAGGTTTTGTGCATAATGAGTCTCAAAACTTACATTGGTCCTAAATCATTTTTAATTTAGAGAGATAGGTAATTAGGTTATGTTAACCCTTTCTCTGCTGGGGTACTTGAAAACCAGGATATGCTGGGGTGGGGGGTCAATTTGACCCCCCCTCTAAATCCCATGTTTGATGTCCAAATATGACAAATGATACATCATTGGAAAGCTCTTGTGCTCTACTTTTAGAATCTGCAAAAAAATTTGCAAATTTGCAAAAATTGAATTTTTATAAAAAACAACAATATATTTGAAAATGTAAGAAGAAATCCGTTTGTATCACTGATACAATTTCCCAAAGGATTTAGGTCTTTTCCACAATCTTAATTTTAATCTAGTCTTTGCAACCCAATATTGTAGAAATTGGAAATTTTAAACTTTAAATGTTGTAATTTAACAAGTTAAAAATATCATGGATTTAATCCATTTGGTTTTATTCAGGCAGTCAGGTATAAGCACTATTTTACTGATCAATCTAACAACTGTATACTGTTGCCCTCCCCCTCCCATCCTCCCTACTGCTGTCTATTGTTTTCCCTTCCCTGACACCTTCCCTACTTCTGTCTATTGTTGCCTTTCCCCTCCTATCCTCTCTACTGCTGTTTTTTGTTGCCTGTTGTCTATCAATATTGCTGTCTGTCAATATTGCTTTCTATAGATCCCCCCCCTCATTCCATCTTTCTTACTGCTGTCTATAGTTGCCCCCCCCCCTCCTCCCATCCCNGTCTATTGTTGGCTTCCCCTCCCAGCCTCCCTACTGCTGTCTATTGTTTCCTTTCCCCTCCCATCCTCCCTACTGCTGGATATTGTTTACCACACTCCCTCCCATCTTCAATATTGCCCCCGTATATATATATAATTAATAATAACTAAATTATAAATGTGTATATATTGTGTTAGATATTTTCCAAAGGGAATTTTTCCAAGAGCATTTTTCCAATAATGACTTCCAAAGTGACAATTTCTGATGTGACAGCTTCCCAAAAAGTACAATTTCCCAAGTGGCAATTTCCCAAAGATTCGTTAAGGCCTTCTACTGCAATGGAGAGCTGAGCGCTGCGGCTAGAACATGTTAGGGGCCAAGCACTGCAGGTAGGACATACTTGGGAAGTTGCCGATTGGGAAATTGCACATTTACGAAGTTGCCACTTCGGAAAATACTTCTTGGGAAAATACTTCTTGGGAAAATTCCTTGGGCCAATGCCTTTGGAACGTACCTAACATCGTACAGAATGATAAGAAAAATAATTAGATTAGTAAGTTTGTTAGATAGATAAATACGAAAATAGCAAAATCAAATAGACTATTACGAAATCTTTTTTATTATAACTAGATAGATATAAGAATTGCACATTTAGATAGCTTAAAGGGAGTGACCGGCAATGTATGATAGTTGAACTGAGAATGTTGCATTGTGGAGAAAGTTTTAGGATTCGGTTGAGACATATTAAACGTTTTAACGATGTATAATTACTGAGTTTGAGCACAAAGTCGACTTTCATAATCATCCATAATTGGATGGTTACGTTTTTAGAATCGATTTTTTCCAAAATTATTTAATAACGACGACAAAAAATGTAAAAAAGTCTACGTATGTACATATATATTTTTTAACGTGTACTACAGTGAAACCCTTAATAACGAATACATCGAAAGAATTCATCAAATGTCGTATTCTTCACTTTCTGATAATGGAATGTTGAAGATATTTAGTTTTTTAATTAAATGATTATATGGAACTCTTTAAAACTGTTCCCACATATTCATGGCTATTTATTTATTTTCGCAAATACTGAAATTTAGAAATATAGTACTCATTGAAAAATTTTCAAGACGACATTTAAAAAAATTTTCCGACGTATTCGTTAATAAGGGGTTCACTGTAGGACATTGAGTTTGAGAGCGAGGTGTATCTGTACGATACACATTGAGAATACAGAGAGTGTTGTATCTGGATTGTTACAGACATAAGTATTATTGTAGAACATTGAATACTATAGCAAGTTGTGTCTAAATGATTGAGACTTAAAAGAACCTATTGGAGTAAGGCAATTGTTACAAAAGTGGTTGCAGCGACGAGACTTATGAACCCTAGTTAAATGCCACGGACTCCAAGGAAGAAAAGTACAGTGATTACCTTGTTTAAAGAGAAACTGTGTCAGAAGAAACAGTAACAGTGCAGCAATAAATTAAGACTGCAATCAGAGTGTACAGAGTACTAGAGGGTACAGAGTACTAGAGGGAACAGATAGGGTTGTTAATCGTTTTTGAAAACGATCGTTTTTGTTTCGTTTTTCAATTGTTTTCAATAACGATCGTTTTGATTTTGGGAAAAAACGATCGTTTTTAAAAACGACCGACTCGTTTTGAACTTTTAGAATACGAATAACGATCGTTTTTGAAAACAATCGTTTTTTCCCAAAAACGAAACGATCGTTTTTGAAAACGATTGAAAAAAATTGCATGCAACTTTATTGAATGTCGTCTTACATATGAAGTTAAAAAGTTGTGGGGGAGCTAAAACTTCTTGATATTTTCTTAAAAACTACTTAATGATAAGAACAGATGCCTTTCAGGTCGGTTTCCTCTCTTCGTTAACGATCGTTAACGAAGGGTCGTCATTAACTATCGTTAACAAAGGGTCTTTGTTAACGATCGTTAACGAAACGACGATTTTTATAAAAACGATCGTTTTAAAAACGACAATTTTTAAAAAACGAACTTTTTAAAAGAACGATCGTTTTAAAAAACGATCGTTTTCGTTTTTGCTTTTTCGTCGTCGTTTTCATAACACAACGATCACAACTGAAAACGTTAACATCCCTAGGTACAGAGTACTAGAGGGTATACAGAATACCAGAATTTATAGAGTAACAGAGCGTACAGGGTACCATAGTACCAGAATGAACAGAGTGCCAGAGTGTAGCAGTGGACAGTTTTAGATTGTACCCTAGAGTACCTAGTGTAGAATCGGATACCAGAGTACCAGAGTACCAGAATAAAACAGAGTACCAGATATGGAGGAAACCGGAACAGAAAGGTGGAAGCCTTCAACCCAAAGAATTTGAAATCTTAATGCAAAAGTTCGAGCAAATTGAGCTGCAAGCCCGGGCAAGGGATGTGGAAAAGGAAAAATTGTCGAAAGAGTTACAAACAGTGAAAAAGATTGATAGAGTGAAAGCAATGTTGGAGTAGAGTAAGAAGATAGATGAGATATGATGAGATGTGGGAAACAGGACAAATACACATGATAGTGAATACAATGCCAGGAATGATTGTGTACAAGCCTATAGATGAAAGAGGAGAGATGTCTGGTGATGTCAGCGAGCTACAAGCCAGAGATAGTTGTTTATACTGCAAGAAACTGGTCATCAGAAGAGAAATTGCGGGTCCTATGAAGACTGGAAGGAGAAGAATACAAACAAGAAGACTAGGAATACTAACAGAAAACCAGTTTCATTCTATAATTCTAATTAAATGTTTATGAACATTTGTCAATAAATCAATTCGATTTGTTCGCAGATTTCTTAAAATTTTTCAAATGTCGTCTTTTCAATAAAAATTCCGGGAAATTTACAGAAAACGTTTGTGAATAATGAGACATTAGAGAAACAAATAACTGAATTATTATTTTCGATAATAAGAGTCGATTTTTATTTTCTTAACCTATTCCTAAACATCTTATTGGTTTAGTGTAGAATTTTTGTTACATTTTTGTCTTCGTTATTTAATAGTTTTTAAAAACCCGATTCTGAAAATGTACCCACCCAAATTCATGATTTTGAACGTCGAACTTGTGCTCAAACTCAGTAAATATACGTCAAAGAAACGTTTTTTATGTCTTAAATGAATCCTAAAAATGTTGTCCACAATACTACATATTTAGTTCAACCACCATACATTGCCAGTTACTCGATTCTCAAGACGAAATCACCCAAATTGATGCTTTTGATCGTATGACTTTGCGCTCAAACTCAGTAATTAAACATCATTAAAACCCTAATTTCTCCACAATACTACATTCTCAGTTCAACTTTCATGCATTGCCAATCACTACTTTTAATACTGATAGATAGATATTAATACTGATGAATAAAAACAAATTTTATTTGAAGTATTTTGAGAAGACTCTTTTTTCTTTAGATTTATTTGAAATATTTTAAAATATTTTTACATTTTTAAAGCTAAACATTATTTATATAATGACCTACAAAAAATTATATCTTTTATCTTGACAAGGAAGTTAAAAAAACATTATACTAAAATATTCTTTGCTTAACAAATTGACCCTTTTTTGGTTCGGATTCTACTTTAAAGTTTATAAACTAATTCAGAGCTTCGTAAATTAAAAGTTTGAAATAAAGATCACCGAATTGACATTTTACAGAAGGCTGTCTTGTCTTCATGTGTATTTGCAATATAATCTTTTCGAGTCATATTTAAACCAATCAAAAATAATATTCAGAAAAATGTATAATTTATAAAAGAAAAATTAGTAATTAAAAAGTAATTATTTCGTTTTTTTAATGTTCTCTTATTATTATCGATTTTATTTGGTTTAAGAATTTAGTCTTTGCCACAAACTCTGATTTTCTTTGCATATCTTTGCAACCCAATGTAGCAGATCTTGGATATTTTAAACTATGAATTCTGTTAGACTAAATAATCTGTTTTTAAAAAGAATAAGATTTCACCATAAGGTTGCAAAAATATAGGCATTATAAAATTTGAGTTTGCGGGAAAGACTCAAGATAGATATTGTATAAAACAATCTGATCTGGAACCTTAGTGTATCAAGTTATTTTGCTTTAAAACACAATCAAAACTGCGGCGCAGAAAAGAAATAATAATAAAAAGAAACGTTAAATTATACTAGCTAAAGAGCTCGGCGTTACCAGTGGAGTGGAAAAAATGTTGAATTTGTCTAGCCTATGTCACCTCTCCCCCCCAAAAAAACTAGCCAATTTAGTCCAGCTTTACATTGGAAACTAGTCTTTTAAGTCGCTACGTCCCCATCCCATCTTCTTTTTTAACTGTGAACATCATGGTGAACATCGAATACATTGTAAAACAAAACCCCCCCAAAAAAATTTGCGGATTTTATAAAACAATTTTATGGATTTTTTTTAAAATTAATGGTAATCGAATTTGTTGGAGGAAAATTTTTGAAATTTTGATCGTTCTTAAACCTTTACTGGGGACATGTGAAGTCAAACACAAAAATTGGGTCTTTTTTTGCATTTATTTATGTTCATGTTTAAAATTTTACCTATTTGCAAAGCTTTTTAATTTTATAAGCAAATGTTTTTAATTTTGTAAGCAAATGATTGCCAGACTAACTGAGGCTGAGGGAACCATTCAAAATCTTAATGCTAAACTTTCTCAAGTAGAAAGATCTAGATCTAAGATGCAGGCAGAGCTTGATGAAATGACATCTGGTCTTGATCAAGCCCAGGTCCTGAATGCTGCCATGGAAAGAAAAGCTAAACAATTTGACAAAGTCATTGGAGAATGGAAACTTAAAGTTGATTCTCTGTCTTACGACCTTGATTGTAGCCAGAAGGAAACCCGCAATGCTTCCTCTGATCTCTTCAAGGTCAAATCTGCCTATGAAGAGAGCATGCTCCAGCTTGATGAAGTGAGAAGAGAGAACAAGACCCTTTCCAATGAAATCAAGGACATCATGGACCAAATCAGCGAAGGAGGAAGATCCATCCATGAGATTGACAAAGTCCGTAAGCGTCTTGAGGCTGAGAAACTTGAGCTCCAAGCTGCTCTAGAGGAAGCTGAAGCCACCCTTGAGCAGGAAGAAAACAAGGTTCTCCGTGCTCAGCTTGAACTTACTCAAGTAAGACAAGAGATTGAGCGCCGTCTTGCTGAGAAGGATGAAGAGTTTATGGCTATCAAGAAGAACCAGTCAAAGGCTCTTGAATCTATGCAAGCTGCCCTTGAAACTGAATCCAAGGGAAAAGCTGAGGCTCTCAGGATGAAGAAGAAGCTTGAGTCTGATGTTACTGATCTTGAGCTTGCCCTGGAGCATGCCAATGCTGGAGCCATGGAAACACAGTCAACCATCAAAAAGTACCAAAACCAGGTCCGTGATGCTCAGTGCAAGGTTGATGAGGAATCCCACATGAAAGCTATTGCTCAAGATAATAAGGTCAATGCTGAAAGAAAGGCATGAGCTATGCTGAATGGACTTGAGGAAGCCAGAACAATGTTGGAGCAGGGAGATAGAGGAAGGAGAGCCTTGGAACAGGAGCTTGCAGATTCCAATGAGACCCTAGCTGACTTGTCCAACCAAAACCAGGCCATTTCTGCTGCAAAGAGGAAGCTAGAAAATGAGTTCCAGACTGTTTCTGTTAGTATTTCCTTATAATTGAATTGCTTAACATTTTTAATACTTTTTTTTGCATTTTTCTTATTTTTTCTTTTTAGGCTGATCTTGATGAGATGGCTAATGAAGCTAAACTTTCTGAAGAAAAGGCTGCAAGAGCTATGATTGATGCTGCAAGACTTGCTGATGAACTTCGTGCTGAACAAGACTTTGCCATGTGCCTTGAAAAAGACCGCAAGCTTCTTGAGGCCCAGTGCAAGGATGCACAGGCTCGTGCTGATGAGGCTGAAGTAAATGCACTTAAGGGAGGAAAGAAGGCCATGATAAAAATGGAGACAAGAATTAGGGAACTGGAATCTGAGCTTGATGCTGAAAATAGGAGACTTGGAGATGCAAACAAAAATCTGAGGAAAACTGAGCGCAAGGTGAAAGAACTTACTTTTGCTGCTGATGAGGACAAGAAGAACCATGAGCGCATGCAAGCTTTGATTGATCAGCTCCAGGGCAAGGTCAAGTCATACAAAAAGCAGATTGAAGAAGCTGAAGAGATTGCTGCTCTGAACCTTGCTAAGTTCAGGAAGGTTGCTGGTGCCCTTGGCGAAGCTGAAGCAGCAGCAGATCAAAATGAGCAAGCTCTTGCCAGGATGAAGGCTCGTGCCAGGTCTGCATCCCTTGGACCAATGTAATAAGCCATTTTGAACCTACTGAAACCTTGCAATATCAAGTTAATTAACGTGTAATAAACAATTGCAAATTTTATCGAACTTTTGTTTGTCTACAAAAGGAATTGTTTATTTTATTGGTTATTGTTATTCATTGGTAGGATTGTTGAGTTTGACAGATACTTTTAAATTAAGAAAATTTGGAACTAAAGGTTTTCTTGAATTGAGGAGAAAATACTTTTGATTTTTTAATGTATGATGCTTGCATATTGATTTTTTTTCAAATATCTTTATTCCTTCCTTTTAGAGAGTGATATTTTTAGAATCATTATTTTTCATGTAAGCCTTTGATATTTTAAATTATGTTGGATCAAATTGTCTTAGTTTGAAATATCAAAGGTTCACACAGTTTGAATTTTCACTGTTTTATTATAAAATCTAAAAATATTGTTGCTGATATTTTGTAAGCTTTTTCATGGGGTTAGATTATTTACAATTTGCATCTTTTTGTCATATGCTTTCCAAATTGCTTTAGCTAGTTTCATTTACCGGAAGTGTGTAATCAAGCAATTTAAGGTAATTTACATTCTCATTGTCTTATTCTACTTCTAACTATGTCGCCAAAGGTTTTGGATATTTTTATTGAATATGCAGCAATTGTAGTGTCACACCGTCATATTGCGCAATTCCGTCCAGGTTTCTTGCATTAGTTTTTCAGTTTTTGATAAAATTCAATTTAAACCTTATAGGATGCAATAAATGCAATTAATTATTGCGCAATTCCTTTCACCAAAAAAAATTTAATTAAAACTTAATTTGGTAGTGGCATACAATAAACTGAACTTCAATCTTAAATTAAGAAAATTGAATTTAAAATTTCTCTCTTTCAAACTTTTATTGATCAAAAATTACAGTAAAAATCTATATTTGTATATTATAATGCAAACACCCATTTACAAAATGCTTCTCGCATTATACTCTCTATTTTACGTTAAATTTAGATTTGAATAGTAGCATTTGACAATTCTGGAGTGGGATCTGAAAGAAAGAAAATAGGAAAGTAGGACATCTTGTCTAAAGTAGATAAAGACTTCTCGTCTATAAGAAAAGAAGAATCGAATGAATTGAAATGGAAGACTTCTCGTCTTTTAGGCACTTGACTAGGTAACTGGTTTGAGAATGAAAATAAACTCATTATATAAGGTTTCAGCACTCTGAAACTTAACATCAATATGGGGGGGGGGGGGTGGGCTGCACAGCAATATTTTGAAGTATGGTATAATCATTAAACAGTTGCTTTTCATGTACATTTTCCATTTTATGTTTTGCTGTTGAATATGAAATATTTTCATTGCGGTATCCATAAGTAACATTTCAAGCGTAGATGGGGATGTAAATTCTAATTCTTGAATTGTTTTTATGTCAAGTGACAAGAAATCATTCAGCTCATTTTCAGTTGAATTTTGGTAAAAGTTGCCATAGGTTGCATGTTTAAGATATTCAAGTTACTTTGGTAATATTACAAATTAGTAATATATGGACTCAATGAGTTACTTGTTAGAAACATATCAAGACGAGAGCATTGAGAGCCTCCATTTTTTTCCATGTAAACATTCTATTGTTACCATTTAAGTGTCTGTATGCATCAATAAAACCATCAGATTCAATTTGCTGGTTAAGACAGTTCCTTGCACGGATATTCCTTGGCTGGGCATAATTGTAATTATCTAATTCATGAGACAAGGTTACGTTAAGGTCACCCGTGATGATGCAGTCAGTGATATTAGAATGCTCTATATAATTAATTATGTTGTCAAACAATTCTGGAGAGTCCTCATTTGGGCCATAAATAAAACCTATGAGCATACTGTTTCCCAACGAACCTTACAATTTTAACCAAGAAAAGTTTCCATTTTAATGTTTATCCAATGTGAACAAATAAAAAATGTATCATATTAAATTGTTAATTAGTAGCTTAACCACAAGAAACTTTAAAATTTGAAAACTGTTGAAATAAGTGACCCTTGGGCCTTGATTATTTTAAAATCAACAGAGATATTCAATTCCATTCTTGTATCTGCTGCATAAATTTTTAAGTCACAGTTAAAATTATTGATTTTTAGATAGAAAAGCAATTCCGCTCCACATAATTCCGTGCAATTCCCTGCAATTCCATGCAATTCCGCAAATATTTTATTGCTTCTTTTTTTGCAATTACAGGGCAAGCAGAGCAACCATTGCCCGGGATTTGAATACCTGTCCCTTAAAGGGATTTGAATACCTTTTCCCTTAAAGGGATTTGAATACCTGTCACTTAAAGGGATTTGAATACCTGTTTCTTAAAGGGATTTGAAAACCTGTTCCTTAAAGGGATTTGAATACCTGTTCCTTTAAAGGGATTTGAATACCTGTTCCTTACAGGAATTTGAATAACTGTTCCTTTAAAGGGATTTGAATAACTGTTTCTGAAAGGAATTTGAATACCTGTTCCTTTAAAGGGATTTGAATACCTGTTCCTCAGTTGCCTGTTTGCTTCCCAGCAGAGCGGACCTCCTATGTTGTCCCAGAATTACAGCTGTAGAAGAGTTTAGTTACGCATCTTATATCCTACAGAGGAAGCTGGAAGCATAGATTAAAACAAAACTTCATCTTCAGCTTGCTGCATGCACTGAAAGAGGAGTTAAACCCCTCAAGGGAATACAAGTCATCCACAATGATACCAGTTTTTTACTGGACTAGATGTGAGGACTGGATTGCTATGGAAGATTCCTTTCAAGAGATCTTTCAGGGATCACAACTCCCCATTTTGCATAAGGGGTGAAGCTATGGATGTTCCCTAATTCCCATCACTGGGAATGAAGGAACACAGGGAGAAATCCCCTATACCCTTCTTCCTACAAACCTCCTTATTTCTCTTCTACCTGCTTCTTAACTCAATGTCAAAAAGAACTATTTGGAAAGGCCTTAAAGTGTAAAAACAAGATACAAGAAGCAAGAAGATATAAACGAATTTTAACAGAAAAAAAGTGGAAGGGAAATCTATTGACAGAAGAGATGGATTTTTAAAGCAAGATAAGTAAATAAAAAAGAAAGAAGAAGAAAACTTTAAACTGGAAAAATTAGAAGGGGATTTGAGCTTTACACTGTCTAATTTTTACCGATAGCAAATAAAGACAAATACACATGATGGCATATGTCCCATCACCCCCTCTATGTCCTACTCAAGAAAACAACTGGAAAATGTGTAGAATGCCCTCCTCACCCCTCTCCCCCTCTCCCCCTCTCCCCACCAAAAAAATTTCATTGAAAGTGTGGAGCTAGGAATGCATGAGCTGATGCAGTTACATGACTCAAGCAAAATTTAAAAGCAAAACCTGGCCACTTTCAGAATAAAGATACAGGGCTTGAAAAAACAGTTCTGCCTCTGCAATTTGGCTAGCTGCAGAAACATCCAAAAAATTCATTTATTTTTATTTTCAAAATACTTGCACACTATATATCTCCGAATATACAAACATTTTTCTCCATAAGGACTCTGTTATAGTTTGAAAGCAATTATTTTTTCACTAAAGTCTTTGCCAAACATTCAACATTTTCTAATCCCTATATCTTTGCAACATGACAGTGTAACCGTTGATATTTCAAATTAGATTATTTGATCTAGAAAAATGTAAAGTTTGAAATATAGGGTTACAACTTAAATTGTGGATGCAAAGATAAAGGGATTACAAAATTCAGACTTTGTGGTGAAAACCCAGTCTACACTGTTTTTGTGTTACAGTGCGAGTCAAAAATCTCAAGAAATTACAAATATCATTTGAAAATACTAAAGTTTTGATTGTTTTATTAATTAGATAATAAAGTTTGTTAAAAGTAAAATGATTGTGCGATACGATTTCTAAAATTTGCTTTAGTCGACCTTCACAGGGGAAAAAATATAAAATTAGTTTTTCGATAAGTTTGAGTAAAATAAACTGAGTATTCGCCTCAAACTCGAATTCTCTAATTTTTATATCTTTGCGGCCTAATGCCGAAAATATTCTATATTTAATCCTTGTTGAGTGATGACCAAATATCAGGCAGAAATAATTAGGCAGTAGATAATGTTCAAAGTTTCTTAAGATCTAACAGAATGCATGGTTTAAATATCTAAGATTAATTTCTAAGAAAATCCGAGTTTGCGGGAAAAAACTGAATTTCTGATGAAAATATCAGGAGTTTTGATATATATATAGATTTCACAACATTGTCTTCTTTACTGGGGCAGACCAGAGGCGCAACAAGAACTTTTGCTGGGGGGGGGGGGGCAAAATATTATTTTGTAATGGTCTGGGGGGAGGCTTGGACCCCCCTTTAGAAATTGTTTTCAAAATAAAAGTGCTTTTTTAAGGGTTTGATGTCTAAAAAAAAGGAAATTTTCAGTTGTTGCATGGAGATTTGGCTGTGTTCAATTCAAATCAATTTTTTTTCTTGTTTTTTTTAAAAATATATACTTTCAACAACTGTAAAATTAACGCTTGGAGTCGATCAATTCTTTTCATGTGTCATGTGTGCGCAGAGTGCCAAAGAAGAAATTTTGTTAAGGACCTTGTTTAATTACAGATATAATTACAAGAAATAATTATTTATTTATTCTGAAAACAAAACATTAAAATACATATATAATTTGAATCATCTACATTGAAAAAGGACAGATAATGTTACGCTAATTCCTGAAGTTATTGAATAAATGATGATTATGATTCTAACCAATATTCATAATCTTATTTCATTTTTGATTTTATAGAAAGTACTTTCAAAGAAAATAAACAGGTTACAGTCATCAAATATGATAATCAGTTAGAAGTTTGCCAGGTTCAATCTCAGAATGCTCTCTAGATTTGGAACTGAGTTTTTGCCACAAACTCAATATTCTAATCCCTATATCTTTGCACCGAGTGGTGTAAACCTTTGATAATTCAAACTTAGAAAATTTACCAAAAAAAATCAAAGTTTGAATACAGTTCGGAACTTTTTTTATCAAATGTTTACAATAGCCTTTAGCCTTGAGAATTCAGAAAGATAAAAATATTTTTTTTAAAACTAGCCATAGAATACAATTTCTACAATAACTCTTTTGGTTTTATTATTCCTGACTGGCCTGTGATAATGATATTCGACTGTTTAAAACTGTTTAAACAGAGAAACCGCAAAAGTAAAGCTATTTCTTAAAAACACTTTATACTCAGTAGTCGATACTGATCAAGAAGGTCTGGTAGTCTCCAGAATATTTCTCTCTAGGTCGGTTTCCGCAGCATCGGTAATACGTTCATAATGTCAGTTCTCTCTCTATCTCTCTCTACCAATTGCTCCTTTCCTCTTCTGTTCTCCTGATACAATTTTCCTCTCTAGTCCCTGACAGTTTCATGTCCCTCCCCGCCGTCCGTCCCTGTTGACTGATTCCGACCCTGTCCTACCCTCCTCCCCCACCCTGTACTCCTAACCCAACTATACCGACCGTAATACGTCCGATACAGTCCGACCAAACCTCACTCACTCACTTTATTGCATGCACCCTCCCAACCTCTCTACTCACCACACTCACCGTGTCTAACAGTCGCAATTCCGCCGATCCAGGCCGTTTAAATTACGTACCCGCTTTTCTCGCATTTCCGTGCTGATGATACCCGTACCCGTACCATACCCGCCCCGCCTTTTACCCAGCGCACCTTAAAAATTATGTCCGCCCTGTCCCGAACTCTTATACCCGACCAATCCACCACTCTTTTTATATATTTTTTGAAGCACTTTAAAAACGCATTTTTTATTAGTTCATATTTTTTTATATTTCTATATTTTATGTATTTTGGATTTGCTTATCTATCTATCATCTTTCTATTTTTCTATCTTTCTATTTATATACATCTAATTATCTATCTATTTATCTATCTATCCATCTATATATCTATCTATATCTATCTATTTGATAATTTGTCTATCTATCATCTTTAATTTTTTTATACATACATATCTATACTATAGCTATATATATATCAGTTGAAACGCAACAATCTTCTTATAACATTTTATTCATAAACAAATTGTTTCATGCTTTTATGCAATCATCAGTAAGAATGATTTGGGAATTTTTCACAGATATGTAAATATATATATATATATAGATATACCAATCTAGCTATCTATATATCTATCTATAACTTAATATTTCAAACATTCCAATTTTGAAATAATTATAAAAATTCTTCTATTTTCCCAACAATTTTTTATTTTATTTTCTCTCACAGATCTACAACTGAAAGTTAACAATGGCAACTCCAGGTTTAACATTGACAGTGACCGGCTCGCTAGATGAGCCTCCTTGCTGAGCCATTAGAGTATAGGTGCCTGGAGACAGAACCCTCCAGTATTCTCCCTAAATAAAGATCAAATTTGATAGTTTATAGTACAGTGAAAACCATAAAAAAGTAAAATATGAAGACGACTAGTAGACTTAACTTACGATTTTAAATAGTGCAAGGAAATTTTCTTTCGTATTTCGCAAACTTTTTCGCGAAAATGAAAAAGGAATTGAAAATGAGGCGAAATTCGGCGAAAAAGAATTTTTCAAAAAGAAAAACCGTCTAAAACTAATAACTATAGTGTTGCTACTGCAACAATTAATTGCCCTTTAAACGTTTTACTATGTGAGATCTCTGCCCATGCGAGTTCAAATTAGAAGTTTTATTAATATCTATCTGTCCACGTATACGTTTACCTAAATCCAGCCAGCCATTGTTAAATCTATACCTCCTTACGGCCTCTATTTTGTGCTTATAGGATTTAGAGTTCAGTTTAGGAACTTGGGGTATTTTTTTTGTCCTATTTTTAAAAAATATTTTCGTGAGATTAGTACACTTTTAGCAACATTTTTTGTTCGCGAAAATTTGGCATATTTTTGCAAAGAAGATAAACGCGAAATTTCGCGGAAAGCGAAATTTGTCAATTATTTTTACGATACGAATACGAAAAATGCGAAAATTTTCAATTTCTCTGGAAACCCTGCATGAAAGAGATTCATTTGCCTTAGGTGTTTCAGTTTTTTTTCGGCCCAGAAGGATTCTGAACCCACCCCACTAAAAAGAAAAAAAAATTAAGCCCCCCACTGGACAAATTGATGAACACGCCCCTGGTCTAATTAAATGATATTTACATTGTATTTAAAATGTATATTTTACATTGTATAATTTGGGAACTTGAGTTCCTTGTTTTAAAATTGCAACTAATATTATGCAAGATTTACACATTCGTTGTTTTTCATTTCATTTCATTTTCAAAAGTTTGTTTAAAATATTGCTTGTTTTGTAAAAAAAACGTTGCTTTAAAGGGAGTGTTAGCGAAAAATGAAAGGGGGTATAGGCTTAATGCGATAAAAAAGCGCTTATGATCGCTACTAATCTTACTTCTATCTGTTGCGTCTATAAGGAGAAAATTGTTAAAGACGTTTCATCCCGAATAACTTGGCGTCCATACAAATTCAGAAAATTGCAACATACGACTTAGACCGTAAAAAAATTAATTTAATTTCAAACAAATTATTCAGATATTACAACCTATAGTCATCGATTATCTTTCGCCACATTTGTATATATTTGATATTTCATACTAGTTTTGATTTTTAAAAAAAATAATATTTAGCTTACAACTCAGATCATAACAATTAAAACATATTATGAAAAATCAACTATATATAAATGTGGCGAAAGATAATCGATGACTATAGGTTGTAATATCTGAATGATTTGTTTGAAATTAAATTGATTTTTTTTACGGTCTAAGTCGTATGTTGCAATTTTCTCAATTTGTATGGTCGCTTCGTTCTTAGGTATGAGACTTTAACAATTTTCTCCTGATAGACGCAATAGACAGAAGTAAGATTAGTAGCAATCAAAAGCGCTTTTTATCGTATTGAGCCTATACCCCCTTTCATTTTTCGCGAACACTCCCTTTAAAATCTTTCGAAAAGTTTGTTTGTTCAATAAAAAACGTAAATTTTTTTCAAGTTAGTTCAAACGATTTCAAATCATTCATTCTTTTTTCATTCCTCTTAAAGGGAGTAAACTGAGTATGCAATTATAGAAAATCTTTTAGGATTCATTTCAGACAAATAAAACATTTCCACAATGTATAATTACTGAGTTTGAGTAAAAAAGTCGATGTTCAAAATCATAAGTTTGTGTGGGTACGTTTTCAGGATCGGTTTAAAAAAAATATTAAATAACGACTACAAAAAAATGTAAAAATTATTCAGTAAACCAATGTTATGTTTGGGAACATAATTCTCAAAAGAAATTTGTCAATAAATCAATGTTAGACTCAATTATTTGATTTTCATTATCATATTGAATTTGTTATTTGCTATAAATTTGTCCGCAGAAATTCTTCAAATGTTGACTGTTAAATAAAAATTCCAGAAAATCTGCAGAAAATCTTCGTGAATAATGAGAGATTATAAAAATTAATAATTGAATAGGGAAGCCTATGCACACTTGGAACCTTGAGAACCTTTCGTTGCCCGGGGATCATTGCTTTGGAAATACATATCCCTCCTCTACATAAATATCCCTATCACTACATATAATGATGCCCATCTCTAAATATAATGATGCCCATCTCTACATATGATGACCATCTCTACATATAATGATGCCTATTTCTATATATAATGATGCCCATCTTTAAATATAATGATGCCCATCTCTACATATGATGCCCATCTCTACATATAATGATGCCTATCTAACTTAAATTTCTCTCTACAGAACTCATGTACACCACAAGTACTCAATGACATAAGAACAGCCAATGTTCACAACCGACCTAGTTAATCTATATAATAGGAATATCTTTAAAACATCTCTGTACATTTATATCTTTCAAGATGAAAAATGTCGTCTTTTACGCAATCTATCTTTATCTATGATCTCTACATATAATGATGCACATTTCTACATATAATGATGCCCATCTCTACATATGATGCCCGTCTCTACATATAATGATACCTATCTCTACATATAATGATGCCCATCTCTATATATAATGAAGACTTAATTAAAGTTTAGTCCTGGACACAATGCATAAAAACTAACCTGGTTTGTTGTTTTAACTGACTTCCCTCTATTAACAACTACAACGGCTCCAGGTACAGGATTTCCTAAATATTTTTTATTTAAAAATATATTTTTACTAAAAAGGTTACCTTTAAATGTTTTTATAAAAGATAATGATAAATAATTAAGCCTTAACAGGCTGGGGGGGGGGGCGTTTGGCGCCCCGCCCCTGTGGTTTTTTGTTCTAGCACTCTCACGTTTGACACTATCACCGTGAAATTTTTTGACTTTTAATGAATAGTAATTTAAAGGATTTTTTGTTAAAAGATATTTCTTATTTATTTATTGGGAAGGGCAACGCCCCCCCCCCCCGGCTCTACATAGATTCAGACCCCCCGGCCAGGGTTAAGATTTTTTGTATTTGTCGAAAACTGCTCTTTTGTCAACCTTTGCAATTTAGAGATTTAAGTATTTGAGGTCTTTTACTCTATTTTTTATAGATTTTGATTGATAGATCGATACAGCCTGGATGTACTTGGTTCTGGTTAGTTTTACGGCTGTCACATGTATTTTTTTATTAAATTATATTATAATATATATATAGTATTGCACCTAAAGTGCAGTGGAGGAGGAAGTACACCTTATGAAAAGAAAGGAAAAGTCCAATAAGGTCATTTTCCGTCTGATTAAATAAGAAAATAAGTGGAAAATGACCCTACTTTCTTTTTTTACATGGTTCCTCACAAAAGATAAGATTGCAAAGACGATTGTAAAGAATCACTGAATTTCGTCTTTACCTCTTGAATCCATGACTACTCCCTTGACTCCGGTGTGAACTTGCTCCAAATATGCAATCAGAGCATTCCTAAATGATAATTCACATCTGTAATCTATCTATCTATATACTTTGCTTGTCTGTACGTTTGTATCCAATAAATGTCAAAACGGCTGAACCGATCGGGCCCAAATTTTGTGTGGGACATTACCTGGATGCTCAGAATTACAAAAAGGTGTCTCATAAAATCTTAGATTATTGTAAAATGTTCAAAATCCATTGAAACGAAATTTTGAATCCGCAAAGTTTGTTTTAATTGTTTTATCAAAGCCAAGCATAAAATTAAAAACCCAACTATTTTTTAAAGATATTTTTTTTGTTTAAACAAACTTAAACAACCTGTTATCTAGCCAGTGACTTACAAGTGTAGCAGCAGGTGGATATTTACAGCATCTATAATTAAAAAAATAAATAAAAATTTATAAAGAGTAAAACTGGTTTTTTTTTTTTACTTACGTTAGTTCAACTGTAATTTCCAAAGCATTTGAATGTACATAGTTATAGTCCTGCATTCCCCCCGGTACATCATACCTAGAGTATATGTACGCTGTTTAGGAATCATACCTTGAGTATATGTACACTGTTTAGGAATCATACCTAGAGTATATGTACTCTGTTTAGGAATCATACCTAGAGTATCTAGAGTATATGTACTCTGTTTAGGAATCATACCTAGAGTATATGTACTCTGTTTAGGAATCATACCTAGAGTATATGTACTCTGTTTAGGAATCATACCTAGAGTATAAGTATACTGAAATTGAGAAATCATACCTAGAGTGTATGTACACTGTTTAGGAATCATACCTAGAGTATATGTACGCTGTTTAGGAATCATACCTAGACTCTAGAGTATATGTACTCTGTTTAGGAATCATACCTAGAGTATATGTACTCTGTTTAGGAATCATACCTAGAGTATATGTACTCTGTTTAGGAATCATACCTGGAGTATATGTACTCTGTTTAGGAATCATACCTAGAGTAAATGTACTCTGTTTAGGAANTATTATTATTATATTATTATTACCATCTTGCTCCGTTTGTTATTCCATTAGGAAAGTTATCAGTTGGCTCGCATTTGATATTGCTGGACATGGTTCTATGGTTCCTGTGATATAATTTTATTTAGCACATGATCTTAATACCTAATAAGGCGACATTCAAAGGAATTGAGTCTTTGTCACAAAATATGATTATAATCCCTTTATCTTTGCAACCCAATATCGTAGAGCTTAGATCAAATAAACCAGGCTTGAACGATCAAAGATTGCCACCATCAGGTTGCTAACATATAGGGATTAGACAATTTAGGTTTGTGGCAAAGACTAAATTCTTTTTCGGAGATTGTAGCTTGATAGTTATCCTTGGTGGACGGGATATCGAAGAGGAATTTGTTAAATCCTTAGGATTACAAAAGATAAGGGTGTATATAGTGTATATATACTGCTTGATCCAGAGTTAAAGTTTAAGCGACGCAAAACCTTTAGTACATAAATTACAACTGTAGTTTGGTTTCAAGGTTCCTATGACACTGTGATCTTACCAGGCTACATATGTTGCATAAAGCGTGCTGGGTCGACTTTACAGACTGGACAGTACGGCTGAATGCATATACAGTACACGTTGTACCGGCTCGGATCATGCAACTTTAATAGTGGGGTGATGGTTTGATTAATTGATGTAACCGTCTGGAGAACATGTCGTTAAACAATCATTAGCTCATATATTCTTCCTATTTTAGTTTATTATGGGGACCACTGTACCTGGCATAAACAGTAGCAAGATACTTGAAGGTTGGATCATCTGGGGAGGCAGAGTATTTCCCTAAATACAGGGTGTCCCAATAAACATGGAAATTAGGCGACGACCTAGATTTTGTATTCGATTTTCGAAAGTTGATAATTATGACGAAGATTGTATAAAAATAAAGATTATACGTTTTTTAACCATTCCAAAATGTAGTCTACCTTCTTTGAATCTTTAAATTTGACAATAAAAAAAAATGAACAGTCGTGACTTAATTTCCATGTTTATTGGGACACCCTGTAGAACAGGAGAAAATTAAGCGTGGGAGGGGACACATTGAAACTAGGGCTGGGCATGATCAGCTGGGTTAATTCCGGTAAACTTTGGTTACTTAGCTCAGAAAAGAATGTTTGTCTTGTTAACGATATTTTCCATTATTTTTAAAAAGTCACCGTTCATGATCTCAATAGTATTAACGTCGTTAACGATATTTTAGAAATCGTTAATTTCCTATAAGATTTCTACGAAATTTTAAATTGAAAAATTATTGAAAATCGCTATTGTGTTAAAACATACCCGTTCCTTCCATTTTTCAATCGTTAATTCTAATTTCAAGAACAGCTATTACCGTTCGTTAACTGTTTAAAAATCAGCGGTTTTTTATTTCTGTTAATATTAAAAACTTCTGTTTTGTTAACGGAACCTTGCCCATTCCTACTTGAAACTAGAACAAATAAGTAAAAATACTTGTTCTAAAGGAATTATAAAAAGTTATACAAAAATTAAGCATTTTTTTCATGACCCTGTGAAAAGCTGCAATTCGAATATGTACTAATCTGAATCGATACAAAGATGATTTTCAAATCTACATATATATATTTGGTTTATCTGTTTTTTTTTGTATCCAATAAACGTCAAAACGACTGAACCGATCGGGCCCAAATTTTTTGTGGGATCTCGCGTGACCCCAGGAAAGTTTTATCAATGATTAAAATTTAAAAGATTTGTGTTTAAAAGTATTTTATTTTGTAAACATTTTTTTATCTTGAAAATCTGCAAATCTTTTTATTAAATCCGCAAATTTTTTTTTTGCTTTTCAATGTTACAATGAGAACAATTGAAATAGAAGATGGGCGCAAAGCGCCCTAAAATCCTAGTCAAATAAAAAAGGTAAGTGAAGATAAACATGCGATAAAAGGAAGTATAAAAATAAAATAAAAATAAAATAAAAAATAAAAATAAAACATGAATAACATGTGATAAAAGGAAGGTTAAAAGATAAAATAAAAAATGAAAGCATGAAAATATGAAAGGAAAAATGAATGAATAAATGAAACCTGACTGATGGCTAGGACTATCATCAAAAGGATAGCTTGCGACTACTGCTCCGCCGTGAAGATTGGCCGAGAGTACAAAGGGTTTGCTAAACAGAAATAAAAGATAAATTTATCTGAGGCGCAACTGGGGTATTGTAACGGGAGGGGGAGGGGATCAGATGTAGTTTGAAATAGGTGGTTTAATTAAGCAAATGACTGACAAAAAATCTTTCTTGAAGATACTCTCCACCTATTTAAAAAACACACACTTCATACTTTCATTTTGTAAATAGGAGGAGTGCATAAATTGTGGATTTGATTTTGTACAAATAAACTTATTTTGGTGAACCGACCCTTTCGAGTTTTGTAAAATTTGGTACCTGATAATATTAGGCATATTGTATAAACAATGAATTATAAAATTATACTTTCATTCTTGCATTTAGTTAGGATTCTAAAGATTTGTACACAATTTCTGGAAATTTTAAATGTCGTCGTTGTTTTATTTAAAATTTCAATGGCTGAATTGTTTCTTAGTCCAAAAATAAAAATGGTAATTTTCTAGAGAACTATTTTTGGACCCCCACGTGTGATCCTGTACGTTAAGATGGCAAAGCTCGATTCACAACGGTACCCTTGACATGTACCTGTATTTAATCAGTTTTCAAAATTAATCATGTTATTCGGTATGAGACGTCTTTAACAATTTTCTTCTTATAGACGCAACAGATAGAAGTAAGATTAGTAGCGATCAAAAGCGCTTTTTTATCGCATTAAGCCTATACCCCCTTTCATTTTTCGCGAACACTCCCTTTAAACAGTTAAGTTTATTTGATGTTTTCATTAAGCAAAACGTTTTTCTATCAAAATTTAATTAAAATATCAATTTTTTCTTGAAATGATATTTTAAACTTATATTCTTTGATCTAACATTATTCTTAGATTGAAATATCTAAGGGTTGCAACATTGTGTTGGGATTAGAAAATCAGAGTTTGTGGCAAAAACTCAATTTCTTTATATTCCACAATTTAATGGGTCCCACCGTATCTTTTTGGTTTATACTATTTTTCTAATTACCTAAAAATCCAGGCCATTGCAGCAGTAGTCTCTTTTTCTCTACCAAAGCTAAAAAAAACATTTTGTATTTTTTAACAAATCCATTAAATCATGAAAATACAAGAAACAAAAATGAAATTCTGAAATGAAGAATCTTTGATTTGAATTTTAGATATTTTTTTTCCTACCTGAGTGCCCTGAAATTACTGGTGCGAGGTTCGTCAAATTGCCGTGGAAAGTTCCGGTTCAGATCCACGCCATTTGCATTTCCTCGCCCGGAACTAAGAACAGGAAGTATAACAGATTTAAGAGGACTATTTAAGCGTAATTTCAAGTGACCCACCATGGAAAGATGGAAATGCCCGATTTACAATGGTACCTTGATCTTTGTCCGATCAAATATGAATTAGAACACCATGTTTTTGTTTTTGAAAACTGTTTGTTTTCCCTTGTGGTTTCTCTGCAAAAATGACTTGCGCATTTCTTGCTTATCAAAAAGGTTGGAGAAATTATCAGAATCAAACACTCTTTTTTCGAGTAAGAAAAACGACGTTATCTTCCAAATTTCTGATCAGATTAAGGTTCCAAGGGTACAGTTGTAAATCTGGTGTTTCCATCTTTGCATGGAGGGTCACTTGAATTTACAATTACAGTTCTTTCAAATCATTTGATTCAATTCGAAATGATACATATTTCTTACTTTAGTATTTGATTTGTAGAATATCATCTTTTTTTATGTAACAAAGTAAAAGCATGCTGCGCAAACAGTATTGGATTAAAGAATTTTGTGTTCATCTTATCCTACATTGTCAGAAACACAATTCTGCTCTACAATGGATGAACAATTAGCCATTTAAAAATAAGACAAAAACTGACTATATGATATTTGGATATCATTTCCTCTTTGTTTCATTTCCTTAATTGAAGTAATTTTGAAAAACAGATCAAAACTTGACTAAATTAATTTTTTTTTGTATCAACTCTGACATATCTTATCTTAAATCAGTTTGACTTGTGTTGTTTTTAACCATTACCTTGTTCCGCAGTTTCCTTCTCTAGCCTCAGCAAATCCGTCCGGGTTGAGGGAGGGGAGAAGAAATATCTCCGTGTTGTTTATTAGACTGGTGATCCTCTGGTCAAACCCATACCTAGAGAGATAGTAAATACGGATGTTTAAAGGGATAGAAAATGACAAACAAAGGATTTAAATCTTTGCCACAAACACCAGTTTTCTAATCTTGTATTTTTGCAACCTGATGATGTGAACCTTTGATATTTCAAACTTTATTATTTGATCTAACAGAATTCATAAGTTGAAATATCTAAGGAATCAAAAAGTTTCTGCGGACTACTTCTCTTCTAATTAAGTACTCTCCTAGGTATAAAAGTATCTATAGACGACCTACCTGCTAAGTAAGTACTCTGCTAAGTAAATAAGCATCTGTAGACTACCTTCCTGCTAAGGAAGTACTTTGCTAGGTATATAAGTATCTATAGACTACCTACTTGCTAAGTAAGTGCTCTGCTAAGTATATACGTATCTATAGACTACCTACCTGCTAAGTAAGTACTCTGCTAGGTATATAACTACCTATAGACTACCTACCTACTAAGTAAGTTAGTACGCTGCTAGGTATATAAGTATCTATAGACTACCTACCTACTAAGTAAGTACTCTGCTAGGTATATAAGTATCTATAGACTACCTACCTGCTAAGTAAGTACTCTGCTAGGTATAAAAATATCTATAGACTACCTACCTGCTAAGTAAGTACTCTGCTAGGTATATAAGTATCTATAGACTACCTACCTACTAAGTAAGTTAGTACGGTGCTAGGTATATAAGCAACTAAAGACTACCTACCTGCTAAGTAAGTACTCTGCTAGGGATATAAGCATCTATAGACTACCTACCTGCTAAGTAAGTACTCTGCTAGGTATATAAGCGTCTATAGACTACGTACCTGCTAAGTAAGTACTCTGCTAGGGATATAAGCATCTATAGACTACCTACTTGCTAAGTAAGTACTCTGCTAGGTATATAAGCATCTATAGACTATCTACCTGCTAAGTAAGTACTCTGCTAGGTATATAAGCATCTGCCGACTCACTGCTTCATCTCCATGCATATTTCCAACATATTTAACCATAGGTTCAAGAAAACTTCTCTAAAAAAAGATTTTTTATTTATAATAAATTGCAGACAGGAATACAGTCTACAGGGGTCGGTGAGTATGTTTTGCGCATTTTAGCGAAATAATCCAATCTGATGATAAATGCTCAGAAGCCAGAACTTTAGTGTCATGAATCTCAGAATCAAGAATTGATCTCCATCTTGAGCAGACTAGCGGATTAAGTTAGGTCCACTTCCTGATCATGGGTGGTTAATGATCATACCCTGCAAGGGATAACACAAATTGAGGATCAATCATGGGTTTCCAATACAAAATTGCGCAATAATAGCGCAAACTTGTTCTGTAGGTGGCTTACTTATCTGTTAAAATTGGAAGGATGAGACTGCAGAGACTACTGTATACAGAATATATATATATGGTCTGTTTCCTTACATTCATGATTCCCTACAATTGTAACTGTGTTTCTTTCTTTAAGAAATCAGTAAATAAGCCAATAAAAGACTTTAACTAACATTTTAAAACACTATGAAAATGATAGAAACAGTTATGGGGGGGGGGTCACATCACAACATTTAACTGAGCAATAAAGTTTGCTTATTGTATGAAGCTTGAATTGATCTAAATTTTAATAAACAAATACCGTACTTCAGTGCATTCCCCCATTCAAAGGTTTGTTGTAAACATCCTTATGGTGGCTTAAACGTACATTATATACTTCCTGCCGACCTATTGCTAGACCCGATTTCTCATATGTTACCGTACAATCTATGCCTAATCAAACGTACATTGCCACCCCCTTTACTGCGCATGGACACCCTAATTGTTGAAGAGTTTAATATTTTAAAATTATTTTCTTCGAATTTTATGTTTTATTTATTCATTTTCTTTTTAAAGTACCAGTTTTTGTGCTATACATATATAGTTTGCATATTGTACATAGACATGTCTGTACATCATAGAGAATACTAGACTCCGACCTTCTGTACACAATAGAGTATACATATTGTACATACCTGGTTTACGTTTTCACTTATTTTGATGTACACTAGACTCCGACCTTCCACGGATTTTCCAATAGCACCAACCTTTAAAAAAAGTCCAAAATAGTTTTAAAACAAAACAAAAAACTTACTCTTTATTGTAAAAAAAAATTAGAGCCGGATCATACACCCTGTACACCCTGGAGTACACCCTGTACACCCTGTAGTACACCCTGTAGTATACCATGTTGTACACAATGTAGTACACCCTGTAATACACCCAGTAGTACACCCTTTAGTACATCCTGTAGTACACCCTGTAGTACACCCTGCAGTACACCTTGTATTACACCCTGTATTACACCTTGTTGTACACCCTGTAGTACATCCTGTAGTACACCCTTTACACCCTGTAGTACACCCAGTACACCCTATAGTACACCTTGTAGTACACTCTGTATAACACCCTGTAGTACACCCTATAGTACACCCTGTAGTACACACTGTAGTACACCCTGTAGAACACCCTATAGTACACCCTAAAGTACACCCAGTACATCCTGTAGAACACACTGTAGAACACCCAGTAGAACACCCTATAGTAAACCCTGTAGGTAGTACACCCTTAAGTACACCCAGTACACCCTGTAGAACACCCTGTAGAACACCCTGTAGAACACCCTATAGAACACCCTATAGTACACCCTGTAGTACACACTGTAGTACACCCTGTAGAACACCCTATAGTACACCCTATAGTACACCCTGTACCTTGGCTAGACTAGGATAGTTCCTCTGAAGCTGCATCAACCTGTCCACCATCTCTCGTTGGTTTTCATACTCACACATTCTAAATGTTAAAGGAACTGTTAGCTTAATTTCATGTGACCCTCCATTTATAAAGTGGAATATCCGATACCCTTTAAGCCGTTATCTGATCAAATATGTGGAAGATATTGTCGTTTTTATAACTTGAAAGTGTTTAATTCTGACAATTGTGACCTAGTTTTTGCCTCAACTCATATTTGTAGAGAAACCAAAAAAAACAGTTTTCTAAAAGAAAAAACATGGATATCTAATTCATGCTTGACAAGACAAAGATGTCAGGCTACTGTTGTGAATAGGACACGCCACTTTGTTGTCTACAGTCCCTTTAAACAAACCCCAACAAAACATTCTTTCTCTTACTTAGTAAAAAACCAGCTTTCTAAAAATGCCTCAAATTTGGATTTTGACGTATTTTGGTTGGTTTTATAATTCTAGGTTGAGTTGGTTCACTTTTATACAAAATAGTTTTTAAGGAGAAATTGGGTTACAAAGCTATATTATTCTATAACGAAAACTTCTAATTTTCAAAGCTTATTGAATACACTTAAAAAGTTCGCAATCAATTTCGCACCTTTAAGAAAGTGTGAACACACTATCATTATTATTATTATTATTATAAAGATTTACATACATTATTTATTATACTTATAGTTTATCTTTAGTGAGGATTCGTTTATTATTTTTAACTACTTGTTTTCTATCTAAAGTAAAACTTTTTTGTCCAACATTTTAATGACTTCCTTGTTCTATTCTTCTAAGTTGCGTGTCATGTCATATTTATAAATGTGATTATCTGTTTCTAATTCTTCATGAAAAAACACATTTGGAAAATTCATCATCAACTTATAATAAATTTTGTTTGACAAATTTTTTACTTTTTTTATTTTTCAAGGGGTTTACCGTATTTGATCAACTATGCAGCTACTAGACTGTGATCTCTGTCTAAACAAAAGAGAAAATTGATAAATTTTTGTTTTTTTACATTGATTCTAATTTGTCTGAGAGTAAATGACATTCCTTTTTAAAGAGGGGATTCAATGATAAACCCGAGGGCTTGCGGATTTTGCGGATTTTTTTTTTGCCTTTGTAAATTTTCTAAGTATCTTTCAATGAAAATATCCCGGCGGGATTAAATGAAAATTGTTGCAAACCAAAAAACCCGCTTTTTATAAAGGAATGTTTTTTTACTTGTTTTCTTTATTTGCGTTTACCTACAAATGATAATAACAAAAGAAGTCGCATTTTTCTCTGAAATTTTGTTAATCATGAAGTTAATCATTGAGTACAATAAGAACATTCATGGATTACATCATTAAGTTAATCGTGAATCACATCATGGAGTACACCATGGAGTACATTATGGAGTACATCATGAACTACATCATGGAGTATATCATGGAGTACATCATGGAGTACATTATGAAGCATATCATGAAGTACATCATGGAGTACATATTATAAGATATATCATGGAGTACATTATGGAGTACATCATGGAGTACATCATGAAGAACATCATGGAGTACATACTGAAATACATCATGGAGTACATCATGGAGCATATAATGAAGTACATCATGAATAACATTATAGATGAAATCATGTCGAGTCCATCATGGAGTACATCATGGCGAAACATTTTTATGTTGACAAAATAAAATCGTAAAATGAAAACTGATCCTTTAACTGTGACGTCAGTTGTTTAAATAACAATATTGTTTTTATTACTGAGCTGAGTAAACTGTAAACAAGGATGACTAACAACAAAACACAAGCTTGGGTTTCATGATGTTTCAATATTTGATCTTGGGTAAATAGAAACCTAAAACCTACAAGGTGTCAAAATATTCACATCTTCTGAAATATATCTCAAAACAAGATTTGCTGGGGTAATAATAATTTATTTTTCAAAGGACTTTAAGCGTTAACTCAAGAAGCCCTTCTATGCAAATATTGCGAGGTCCAATTCACAAAGGTACCCTTATAAGCTTTGTCTGATCAAGCATGAATTAAATATGTATGTTTACAACTTTGAAAACTGATTGTTTTTAATTTTGGTTTCTTTACAAAAGTGACTTCCGCATTTCTACAAGAGAAAAACATTTAGAGTTAATTAGAAAAAAAACATTTTAAAACCTAGAAAAACGAAAATATCTTCCTCTTTATTGATCAGATAAATGTTTCAAGAATACCGTTGTGAATCGGGCGTTGTCATCTTTGCATGAAGGGTCACTTGATTTTACTCTTACAGTCCCTTTAGTAGTGTTCATTATGTGACAACTTGGCAACATCCGCGACTTAAAATCAACACAGCATGACAATACAATAATTGAAGCAGTGCACTTCATTAGGGATGGATCGTTTCTACTTTTTTGAAAACGATCGTTTCGTTTTGAAAACAACCAAGAAAAAACGAAACGATAGTTTTTTAAATATAATTTTTTTTAAACTGTCGTTTTCAAAAACGATCGTTTTTCGTTATAAAAAATATAGTTTTTTAAAAACAACTATCGTTTAAAAAACGATAGCTTTCCTTTTTTTCTAAACGGTCGATTTTAAACACGATCATTTTTAAAACGATCATTTTTGAAAACGACCCTTCGTTAACGACCGTTGACAACGTTAATATGTCTTTACAAGATATATTATTTCTACATTTCCTGCTATTTCTTTGCTGCATAAAATACGTAAGTACGCAAGTAATATATTACATTCAAAGAGGATCACAATTTAAAATCGTTATTTTTCTGTATACAAATTATGGATAAATGCATCATTAAAGTCCAGAAAGATTCGAAGGGTTTCTATCTAAACCAGATATTTTTTTATTACGACAACATAATCTTGCCTTAATTAGTTTAGCGTGACGCCAGCTTTGTTTTCAGTTTGTATTTAACTCCTAAACTAGCGTGCAAGGATTAATCCTATAATTTGGTTATAGTTATTAAAACCAAATATACATGAAAACTTTTAAACCTTGAGAAACGACAATGACAGTTTCAAGGGTTGTTTACTTTTTTGGGTGACTAATTATAACAGGTTTTTATTGTAAACAATAACAAATTTTGTCACCAAACAATGTATACTAAATATTTTTTTTAGAAACCATTAAATCTTTTCTGATTGGGTTACGTCATATTTTTAAATGTAGAATTTGAATCTAATTAAGACGTATTATAAGATTAAAAAGGATTTGAAAAACGTTCAAGCATGGCAAAACCTTGACAAAAATATTAGACTCTAAAGGAACTATTTTTAAATCATCATATTATTATTTTTTAATTATTAATTTGATAGATGTATACCTTCCAGATATTAAGTTTACACCACACTGAGTTGGTAACTCAAAAATTCAAAAAAGCGTGTTGGTTTATTACATATAAAAATTAACTAACTGTTTAAATTTAAAATTGATTAAAACTTGCTGCAGCTGTTTTAAAAGTTTTAAAAGCTTGATATATCTAGAAATATATATATTTGTAGTTTTACCACGTAAAAACATATTCTCAAAACAAATTTTTTTCGTTACGTCTTACCCTTTTTTTGGGAATTCTTATTGCTAATAAAAATGCTATGCGCTGCTAAAAACAATAAAAAAACAATGTAGTGAGACCCATCCATATGTGGAACAATAAGACCACCTTAAATCAATCTTTGTGTGTATTTGATATTATTAAAGTGAAAATGATAGGTTTATATTTACCAGTGCCTAAAAATTCAATTTTAAAGTGAAATTGATCTGTGCAAAGTGCACACTGCAAAATTGTATTATTTTATCTTCATTTAGGGAAATTACATTGTCTGTTTCTTTACATTTATAATTCACCCAATGGTAATTTTTTTTTCTTTGCGCAATCATTAAAAAGGCTATCAGGCAAAAAACTTAATTCAATCTTGGAATAGTTGTAGTTTCGGGAATATTCAGTTATAGTATTTTTAGGTCAGCACAGAACTGGGCATGACTGAATATCTAAGTTTAGTTATGTTCGATCAGGGCGGAATATCCAAGTAGTAAATTAAGCAATGACCGAATATTAAAAAAGTTTAGCAATGACCGAATATTCAAATGCAGTAATGTTTGGTCAGGATTAGGGTTTTCAGCGAAAGAAAGGAAGTAAAAACGATGCGGAATTTCGCGAAAAAAAGTATGCGACAATTTCGCAATTTTTCGCATTTTATGTTTTTTGTTCGAGAAACATAATATTTTCGCAATTTTTTTTTTACTAACGGAATGCCAAATCATCGGCGGAATTTTCGCGAACAATTTCCCCATATCGCTGGAAACCCTAGTCAGGACGGAATACCCAAGTGTACTAAATAAACCGTATTGTCATTCCAAACTAATATTTGCTGTATCAAATGCATTTCTCAAATACAGGATTCCCGGACCCACCACAGCATGAACAAATAATCAGTGTCCCAAAAAAGTTTAAAAGGCCCAATTTTTTGTTTCTTTATTCTTTTAATTTCAAATGTGTCCGATTAAACTAACATACATTTGCACTAAAGTCAGAGCAGGTTTCTATTACGATTGAACATTAGTGCAAATGAACACAAATCGAGCTTTACTGTGTTCAATTGGACTAAAATTTTATTTTCCTGCTGCAGGAATTATTAGTACAAATGATCATTAGTGAAATTGATCTGGAATACTTAAAATATTTGTTCAAACGAACTAGTTTTTTTTCTGTAATTATTAGTGCAATTGAACGATAGTACAAAATTACAAAATAACTATTAAAATAAATTACAAAATAAGTCCAATGAAGCTAATTAATAAAATGAGCCAATTTCCGCTAGAATTTAAAAAGATATGTTATCCACGTGCTCAACAAATCTTCGTACTATAGTGCGAATGAACGTTAGTCCAAATGAACGTTAGTAGGAATAAACGTTAGTAGGAATGAACGTGAGTAGGAATGAACGTTATTCCGAATGAACGTTAGTCCGAATGAACGTTAGTCCGAATGAACGTTAGTCCGAATGAACGTTCGTCCGAATGAACGTTAGTCCGAATGAACGTTAGTCCAAATGAACGTTAGTCCGAATAAAGGTTAGTCCGAATGAACGTCAGTCCGAATGAAAGTTACTACGAATGTACGTTAGTACGAATGTACGTTAGTACGAATGTACGTTAGTCCGATCAATCATTATAGTGCTAACGATATTTTAACCCATTTAAAGCATTTAAATGCCTGCTTGACTACAGTGCTCTTTAGCTTGGAATTAGAAGTAAGGAAGATAAAAACTCTTTCCTAACTTCCTTCATTGTCTAAGCTACATAAAGCCGCTAATTAATATATGAACAGAGATTCTCAATTCGAAACTATTAATGTTTAGATAGACAAACAAAGATTGCTCAATCATTTTAATCAGACACTTTTTTAAAGGGTACCATTGTAAACTTACGAGTATACTTTTAGGAGTTACATTTCCTTGAGCCACCCTGTTCTATTGTTTAAAAGTTAAGTTTAAAATAACACACATGTACCCTTTAACTTTCATGATTAATAGAAGGAACGATTTTTACTCAAATATATCTACTAGACATAGTAGACACAATTTTTCATTTTAAACTTTTAACTTCATTTTACACTTTGCGGATCCTTGACAATTTTTAACTTGAGCCACACAGTAAAGTTAAAATAGATTTCCTTGAAACGGACTGATCCACCCAGGATCCACCCTTTATATACAGGGTGTCTCATATCAAATTAGACCGCGTCAATGGAATCTATGTAAGAAAATCCCGGGAAAAAAGTTTCTGGAAAAAAAACCTGGAAATAAAAACTTTAGAAAAAAAGTCCGAATTTTTTCAAGTCCGTGGAGAAAATGTCACTGGAAATAAAGTCTTGTGTTTTGGATTCATGAGACTTTTTTTCCTATAATAGTAAAATAGTAGTAATAGGGTGCTGCCAATAATAGTATGGGTGCTGCCAATAATAGTATGGGTGCTGCCAATAGTAGTAATAGG